ACCCACGACTGTCCAAAGTTGACAAGGGTTCTTATGCGAGGTACCCCGCAAAATCAGGTCGCTAATCAATTTGGAGTCAATCCATCGAACATTTGCCGTCTCATCCAAAGACTACATGCCACCGGAAGGGTTGCAGACCGTCTCCGAAGCGGTCGCCCTCGTGTGACGACGCGTCGGCAGGATAGGGCAATCGCTTTCTGACAGCCACGGAAACAGCAAGGAACGCAATTGGGCGTCATCATGTTTCAATTGATCCAAAGACAGTGCGTACTCGACTGCATGCCTTCGGTCTGAGACCGCGGCGGCCATATGTTGAACCATAGCTTAATTCGCGGCGACGTGCCAGACGAATGCAATGGCTGAACGCACATTTCGTAAGATGCTTCCCAATGCAACGTTGGAGAAGGTTCCTGTTTTCAGATGAGTCCAGGTTTTCGCTTTACCGGGCAGACGATCGACATCGTATCTTTAGACTTACCCACGAGCGCTATGCAGATGCTTGCGTGATAAAGAATGGCCGCTTTGGAGGAGGATCGGTCATGGTATGAGGAGGGATTGCGCATGATATCAAGACTCCTCTGGTCGTTATTCAGGGAAATCTCACGGCCGTCCGCTATAGAGATCACGTACTAGCGCCGCATGTTGTTCCTCTAGTACAGCAGCGTCAACTGACGTTTCAGCAGGACAACGCCCGGCCGCATGTAGCGAGGGTTTGCCGTGGTTATCTCGCAGCAAACAATGTCCCCACCCTAGACTGGCCCCCATACAGCCCTGAACATGTATGGGACCAGTTGGACAGAAGGATAAGACGTAGGCCGAATCCTCCAATCAACGTCGCTCAGTTGGCGTTGGCTCTGAATGAGGAATGGAATCGTATACCAATGAGTAGGGTTAATACCCCGATCAATTCAACGCATAAAAGAGTTCGTGCAGTTACTGCAGCTCGCGGGGGCACACACCATATTGATGGGTCCAGAACGCACTTCATTTTAAGTGGAGTACTCTTGAATCAACGTCAAATTTGAAAGGTTTATTTAACGTACACGAATGAAATTCTCGTAATTATTACATTCTAAAACCCTTTTCTTTTTCCCGTAGTTGACCTGGAAATTCCTAATTGCGTTTCTTTTCCTCACAGTATACATGCACTACGTCATTGCCATTACTCAAGCCGTAATACTTCGTGTAAATTTCGAGATCCTTTCGGTTATTCGGAAAAAGTCGTTTAGACATTTTAACACCTACCTGTGATAGTAATTGTTGTTTGTTGTTATTTAATGTTAACAAACCAACCAATATAACGACTAAACATGGCCGGAAGTTGGTAGACTTTTCCCAGACGTTTGTCGAATCAAATACGTGTGATTTTCAAATTTATTAAAAGCCAACGTCAGCTTTTTCAGTGCCACCTGAGAAACAATCAGTGACCTTTGTCTGTTCCATCTTCCCCGTCGGTCGTCGTCCATTAATATTTTCACATTTCTTATTAATTGAAAATCGTTAGTGGCTACAATGAAAAATTATAGACAGGTCATTTGGCCACTGCCAAAATAAATCTGTAAATTGTATGACTCTAACCCTGTCGCCTGAAGGAAGTTACCAAAAGTTTCCAAAATGCTTATATGTAAATGTTCTTTTAAAAATTTATTCTTCAGAGAAGAATAGAATATTCTCCATGGATTGGGAAATCCCAGGTTGCTTTGTCAGATTCATAACCCCCGGATCCTCTTTCTCCTTTAAGAAGGAGAGTTGAAGAAAAAAATGAAGTCAATTCCGTAAAGCAGGGCATGAGCTAAAAAGGCTAGAATTTCCTTTTATATAACACAAGAGGTCCAGGGGCCTTAACGGTCATCCGACTCCAAAGACCTATGTATGAAAGAGGCAAAATAGGCCTAAAATGAATTGCTAAACTACTCTGCAGCTTACAAAAAACATTGTTGGTTGATCAAGACATTTTTGCAAATTTGAAAGCATGTGCTTTATATATGCACCATATAAATGGCATTACTTCGGACGTATTGCTTTTTAAAGAAAGCAAGACATATGCCCAATATCAAGACCCTTGGCCTTTTGGTTATTCAGAAAAAGTCGTTCAAATATTTAACACATTTGATACCTGTGACCTTGAAATTAAGTCAATGTCATTCATATTAACAAAGTCGGTAGCCCTACATCCTAGCATGCTACAGGCAAAATACCATCATCCTGGACTTTCCGATTATTGAGAAGTTGCTTAAGATGAAGCATTTCAACACATTTGACCTATGTGACATTTAAAGCGGGTCAAGGTCATTCATATTAACTAGGAGTTGAATCAACTTTCTTAATTCCTTGATGTTTTAGACTAAATTTGGTTGAAATCTATTCAAGCATTAAGAAAGCGTAGCATTTAGAACCAGCTTCCCTTTTTTGGGCCCCGCCTCAAGTCTCAAGGGGTCGAATCAACTTTCTGAATTCAGAAATGTGTAGTGTGGGAGAACGGTGATATTGCTCTAACAAACCAGGGAGATAATAAAAAAATCACTTACAATACATACAATTTATTTACATATAATACACACCAATATACATATTCCATAAACATACACCACACACTTTTCACTCATGAACACTGATTATACCTCTCTCACACTAATGAATATACACAATGTCTATATAAGCAGAAATTACAATTCCTGCACGGCCACAACTTCGTGACCGTTACGAGCTACAAAGTGCACTCCTAGGCGATGATACCAAGGCGGCAAATGGAGTAAAGAAGAACTTACTCTGTCAGTCTTCCCACTACGTCGAAGACGTCGAAACCCCGTCACACAGCTGGGTTGTAGACGTAAGGAAACGACGACCCTGTCACAACTGTATTTCACACTTGTTTCATGGATTGGGGACGGTAACACCCGACACATCAAAAGATGTACACCCGCTACTGATGCACCCGTCCCGATGTCAACTCCGACACCTATATGCTATCATGGAGAATATCTGTGGTAGGTCATCTGGCGAGTTACTCTCCTAATATGTTTGGAACCAAAAGACCATGTAGCATTTATTGTAGTTCATGGAAAAGTTTACTCTCTTATCCACACCACCACACTAAGGCCGTGTCCATATGAGTATATGCTCTCACATCGGAACCAGACATCTGTAAAACACGGATGTACAAAATACTAATAATGGTAACCTTACAAGCACCAAACGCCATTCATAACACTCAACATAACTTCCATACTATATCATATCGTACAATGACATCAATATATATACCAGTAAATAAAGGTACATAAATATTATCCAGTCCTATGTGTCTAGTCATAGCTGTATAAGTACGCTTAAATGATGCTCAATTATAATAATAATATCAATGAACATGTCTAATTACATAAGACGTATTGCTGTCACGTCGTATGTATGTATATGTTGTTTTCTACGTTCGGTATTTTCGTTATCCCTGTCGAGCGACCGTACTTGTGCGTGTGACCAGGTGAGTGGGAGTTCATGGAGGTCGCGTGAATTCCGCAGGGGTTGTTTACGGGTTATTTACCCGATGTAACCACTACAAGGAAAATATACAGGCACAGATTGCAGACTGTGGTAAGTCTATCTTAATATCTCTTTCTTCGCATTATTGCTTTCTTAGCCTTTTTCTTAATAAATATCTTTGATAAACACTCGTTGTTTGTGCGGCTCAGTCATGCGTAGCATTGTTGTTTTTATGTATAAGGCTACACTAGGGTGTCCTTTCTTAGATTGTATCTTAGTATTTGCTAGGAATGTTATTATTGCAGCTGTTTCTATAACTTCTTCCAGTTATTATAAGTTATATGTATTTTATAAGCGTATAGAATACTCAGGTGAGAACGTATGCGTGTTTGAAAAAAGTATGGAAGCCGTGAGTTGCCGTATAATGTCTCATACATTGTTTGCTAGATGGTCGTTATGTTATTCTGAGCCTGCATTAGTCGTTCATTATGTTATTACCTTTATAACTCTTCGAAATGTATCATGTACTGTGTAATTTATGAGTATTTCTGGGGATAATTTCATTTATAATAGTAGTTGATTGTGTCATAATAATGTGCAAGTGTTGTATGCGAGTCAATCTTCGTTACTATTCTTTTAAGCTTTTCCCACCGGTCACAACGACACCAGCTACCTCATCAAGGCCACGACGGTTTTATCAGTGAGAGTCGGCACCAGGGCCTTAGCAGACAGTAAGGTCAGCCAATCACGGAAACTACAGGTTTGGCATTGGGGTACACGTTCCGAGGAGCATAGCGGTACAGATATGGCATCTATAACTGTGAGCTCTACTCTGCTTGAGATTTTGTGTGGCACGCACAGCGCCAAAGTACTACTGCGGTAGTAGTTCGTCAGTTGTCTGGATAGGAATCCTCTGTCTCCATTGAATCCAGTATTTGGGGGTTTTCTTGAACTTTTCATTCCTGGTGTGAAGGACCGTTGAGGGGTGATCAACAGAGACTTTGTGTAATACTGAAGTGTAATCTTTTGTGTGAATCTGAGGGAATGTGTGAGTGTGCTTTGTTTACGTTCATGTTGTAAATAAATTGTTAATTTTTATAGTGGTATTGTGTTTCATTTTCCTGATAGCTTCTCGCCGCTCGTCCTACGTTACAAAGTTGGTGGCAGCGGTGGGATGACTGACGTGTTGCTATTTGGGAATTGAATTTAAGGTTGTAAACAGGTATTTCAGGTGAGGTAGTTTATCAGATATTTATTTTTCTGACCTGTTTCTGTTTGCGTCTCTTTTACTCTTTTCTTGTTTCTTATCCGTTTTCTTTCGTCACAAGAACGTTTCAGATGGATCGCACAGGTAAGCAACCAGGGGAAATTCCAGATGAACAACAGCACGTGGACTGATCTCAAGCCGTGGTGAGTATATATGCATGGTGTCTCCTTGTTTTGTTTCCTGTGTTATTTGTGTTGTCTTGTTATTTGGAATCTGTTTGGCAGGTGTGTTTGTAGCTCATTTATTTTTCAGTATGTCTACATTGCAAGAACTTATTGCTTTTGGAAAGGACTTGCACTATGAAGGGGAGCAGTTACAGGACTTTGTCCGAGATCAGCAAGCCCAAGCCAGAGAGGAACGGGAGAAAGAACGTGCTTTTCGGATGGAAGTAGAGCAGAAGAACGTCATTCTGGAACAGGCTAAGCTTGAAGCAGAGAGGGATGCGAGAGCGGAAGTTCAGCAAGAGAAAGAACACCAGAGGAAATTGGAACTCCTACGAGCAGAAGGTGGCGAGAACACAAGTGTCCATTCCGACAGGGAAACTGCTGTTCGAAGAGGTCCGAAATTGCCAGCATTCGATGAGACACGAGATAATATGGACGCCTACCTCCAGAGGTTTGAACTCTATGCTAGGGCGCAGAAGTGGGAACATAGCCAGTGGGGAGCGAACCTCAGTGCATTGTTGAAGGGAAAAGCTCTGGAAGTGTTTTCGCGTCTACCGGTTGACAAGGCTTTAGACTATGAGGAGTTGGGGAAGGCACTTTTGCAAAGGTTCGAAAAGACCGAAGAAGGTTTCAGGAAATTATTCCGGACAGCCAGACCTGAAGGAGGAGAGACATTCTCGCAGTTTGCCTCACGCTTACAGAATTATGTTGAACGCTGGGTGGAATTGAGTAAGACTGGTAAGACATACGAACAGTTGAGAGATCTTATGCTGAGGGACCAATTCATCCACTGCTGTGGACAGGATCTTTCTCTTTTCCTGAAGGAGAGGTCACCAACATCAATCATCGACATGGCGAGATTAGCAGACCAGTTCGTGGAAGCAAGAGGAACCAGGGCAAACCAGGTGATTTCTAAAGGCCAGAAGACGGGTACTAGTAAGCCACATAGTTCCGGAACAACTGAGGCGCCTGTGTCAAGAGCTCCAACGAAGGATAAGAAATGCTACAACTGTGGTAAGCTTGGACATATATCTTATGAATGCCGTGCCAAGAAGAATGCTTCTGGGAGTAAGGTTGCTGCTCTAGTTGACCAGCAGCATAGGAAAGAGAAGGATAGCGATGAGTGTAGGAATAAAGGAAGAAAGTCAAGAACAGGGTCATCCAGCCAAGAGAAAGATTCTGCGACTTTGAGTGTGTCTTGTGATGTGAGGAGTTCTCAACCTACAGCCATGCCTGTGAAGAAAGGATATATTGGGGACCACAGCGTGACGGTGCTACGTGACACTGGATGTAGCGGTGTTGTGGTAAGGAAATGTCTCGTTGACGAAGGATGTTTCACAGACAGAGTTCAAGTATGTACGTTCGCCGATGGTTCGAAATTACAGACACCTGTTGTTACAGTGGAGGTGGATTCCCCGTACTACAAAGGAACAACCGAAGCCTGGGCTCTGGAGACTCCACTGTACGATCTTATCATTGGAAACATTCCTGGAGCATTACCTCCCAACCAACCTGACCAGAACCGGAAGATGAGGGAACCTGACGTTCAAGCGGTGGTGACACGTGCGCAGTCAAAGAAGAAGGATCAACCATACAAACCACTGAAGGTGCTGGATCTTGTTACAGACATTGGAAGTGTTGTGGATTTGAAGGAGGAGCAACAGAACGATCCGTCTTTGAAGAAGTTTAGGAAACTGGCGGCTAAAGGAGAAATATACGAGCGAGATGATGGAGGATCTTCCACCATCTTTTATCAGAAAGGGATCATGTACCGTAAGTTCCATAGCCCAAGGGTGAGAAATGGTATGACCTTTCGTCAGCTGGTTGTTCCGGCAAAGTATCGCGATATAGTGATGAGATTGGCACATGACTCCATGATGTCGGGACACTTGGCAGCTAAGAAGACTACCAACAGAGTTCTATCGGAGTTCTTCTGGCCTGGTATTCAAGCGGAAGTTATTCGGTTTTGTAGATCCTGCGACATATGCCAGAGAACATTTCCGAAGGGGAGGGTGCCGAAGGCTCCACTTGGTGACATGCCTCTTATTGACACTCCATTTAAGAGGATCGCTGTGGATCTTATTGGACCACTGGAACCGGCTACAGACCGAGGGAACCGATTTATTTTGACGGTCGTGGATTATGCCACTCGATACCCCGAAGCAGTCGCACTGAAGAGCATTGAGACGGAGAGAGTAGCTGAGGCGCTCATCGATATGTTCAGCCGAGTAGGGATTCCTTCAGAGATGCTCAGTGACCAGGGGGCGCAGTTTACATCGGAGATGATGAGAGAGGTAAGCCGGCTGTTGTCTATCAGACAACTGACTACTACGCCGTATCATCCCATGTGCAACGGCTTGGTGGAGAGGTTTAATGGTACCCTGAAGCAAATGTTGCGCAAGATTACTGCTGAACGGCCGAAGGATTGGGATCGGTTTATCAACCCTCTGCTATTCGCCTATCGAGAGGTTCCTCAAGAATCACTTGGATTTTCACCCTTTGAGTTGCTGTACGGGAGAGCAGTAAGAGGGCCTATGATGATTCTGAGAGAACTGATGACCAAGGATATTCCAGATGAGGAAGTGAAAACTATCTATCAGTACGTGATAGATTTACGAGAGAGAGTGGAGGAAACGTGTCGACTGGCATCGGAGCAACTTAAAGATGCAAAAGTCAAACAGAAGAGGCACTTCAACCGAAGAGCGAGACAAAGAAACCTGAAAGCGGGTAACAAGGTTTTGGTACTCTTACCGACAAAGGCCAACAAGCTTCTATTGCAGTGGAGAGGACCTTATGACGTGATTGAGAAGGTGGGTCCGTCAGACTATCGTGTTGACCATGATGGAAAGATCAAGGTACTCCACATCAACCTTCTGAAGAAGTATGAAGAACAAAGGATCCGGGAAGACTCAAACGCAGTGACGTCCGAAGGAGTTCTGGCTTGTGTCCTGTCCATGGTCATTGAGGAAGAAGAATGTAAAGAAGAAGGTCTTAGCCACGTGTTAGAGACTCTTCCGTGTGACAGAGGAAAAGGGGGAATACAGGATGTAGGCATATCTCAGGAATTACCTGAAGAACAGAAAAGGGAGGTGAAAGATTTACTGGAGGGATATAAGGATGTGCTTACAGATCAACCGGGAAGGACAGTCCTTATCGAACATGACATCACGACTACAACTCCTGAGCCGGTGCGTGTTAAGCCTTATCCAATACCATTCAACACCACGGAAGTCATAACAGCAGAGGTGGACAAGATGTTGAAAATGGGAGTCATCGAGCCTTCTTCATCGCCTTATTCAGCACCTGTTGTGATCGTCAAAAAGAAGGACGGCACCAACCGCTTCTGCATCGACTTCAGGAAGTTAAACAGAGTGACAGTCTTTGACGCCGAACCGATGCCGAATACGGAGGAGATCTTTGCTAGACTGGCGGGTGCTCGTTACTTTTCGAAACTCGACCTAAGCAAAGGATACTGGCAGGTGCCGTTGACGGAGAAAGCAAAGCCCATGACAGCATTCACAACGCCACAGGGATTGTTTCAGTTCCGTGTCATGCCGTTTGGACTAGTGAACGCTCCTGCGACTTTCAGTCGCATGATGAGGAAGTTATTGGCAGGAATGGCTCATCTTGATAATTTCATAGATGATATTCTCATTTACACCTCCACATGGGAAGAACACTTAGACGTTTTGAAGGAGCTGTTTTCACGTCTGCGCGAGGCTGGGTTGACTGCTAAGCCAAACAAGTGTTTTTTCAAGCTTACCGTGTCTAGGGCATGTGGTCGGATTAGGACGACTAGAACTGGAGCAGGCGAAAGTGAAAGCAATTGCGGAAGCGCCTACACCAACCAGCAAGAAGCAGGTGCGATCGTTCTTGGGATTGGCTGGATTTTATCGAAAGTTTATTCCTAACTTCGCCGCCATCAGCGTTCCCTTGACAGACCTGACTAAGAAGGGTAACCCCAACAAAGTCGTGTGGAAGGAAAGTCATGACATCGCATTCAATACTTTGAAGAAGTTGCTGACAGCAGGACCCGTTCTGAAGCTCGCTGATATGGAAGAAGACTTCATCCTTCGAACGGATGCTTCCGACACTGGTTTAGGTGCTGTTCTCCTGCAAGAGGACGGAGATCAGAAGTTGCCAGTTGCCTATGCGAGCAGGAAACTCCTACCTAGAGAACGGAATTATGCCATAGTGGAAAGGGAATGTTTGGCAATAGTCTGGGGGATCCAAAAATTTGAGCCATACTTGTATGGAAGAGAGTTTGTACTGGAAACCGACCATCAGCCACTCACTTATGTCAACAGATCCAGGACAGCAAACGCCAGATTAATGCGTTGGGCGCTGTTACTTCAGCCCTACAGATTCCGTATCCGAGCGATAAAGGGTGTGAACAATGTTGGTGCTGATTACCTCAGCCGATTTTGAACCATCCATACTCCGAAGTGTTTAGAAAATGTGTAACACTTTTTTCCGAAACGGGGGGATATTTGTCACGTCGTATGTATGTATATGTTGTTGTCTACGTTCGGTATTTTCGTTATCCCTGTCGAGCGACCGTACTTGTGCGTGTGACCAGGTGAGTGGGAGTTCATGGAGGTCGCGTGAATTCCGCAGGGGTTGTTTACGGGTTATTTACCCGATGTAACCACTACAAGGAAAATATACAGGCACAGATTGCAGACTGTGGTAAGTCTATCTTAATATCTCTTTCTTCGCATTATTGCTTTCTTAGCCTTTTTCTTAATAAATATCTTTGATAAACACTCGTTGTTTGTGCGGCTCAGTCATGCGTAGCATTGTTGTTTTTATGTATAAGGCTACACTAGGGTGTCCTTTCTTAGATTGTATCTTAGTATTTGCTAGGAATGTTATTATTGCAGCTGTTTCTATAACTTCTTCCAGTTATTATAAGTTATATGTATTTTATAAGCGTATAGAATACTCAGGTGAAAACGTATGCGTGTTTGAAAAAAGTATGGAAGCCGTGAGTTGCCGTATAATGTCTCATACATTGTTTGCTAGATGGTCGTTATGTTATTCTGAGCCTGCATTAGTCGTTCATTATGTTATTACCTTTATAACTCTTCGAAATGTATCATGTACTGTGTAATTTATGAGTATTTCTGGGGATAATTTCATTTATAATAGTAGTTGATTGTGTCATAATAATGTGCAAGTGTTGTATGCGAGTCAATCTTCGTTACTATTCTTTTAAGCTTTTCCCACCGGTCACAACGACACCAGCTACCTCATCAAGGCCACGACGGTTTTATCAGTGAGAGTCGGCACCAGGGCCTTAGCAGACAGTAAGGTCAGCCAATCACGGGAACTACAGGTTTGGCATTGGGGTACACGTTCCGAGGAGCATAGCGGTACAGATATGGCATCTATAGCTGTGAGCTCTCCTCTGCTTGAGATTTTGTGTGGCACGCACAGCGCCAGAGTACTACTGCGGTAGTAGTTCGTCAGTTGTCTGGATAGGAATCCTCTGTCTCCATTGAATCCAGTATTTGGGGGTTTTCTTGAACTTTTCATTCCTGGTGTGAAGGACCGTTGAGGGGTGATCAACAGAGACTTTGTGTAATACTGAAGTGTAATCTTTTGTGTGAATCTGAGGGAATGTGTGAGTGTGCTTTGTTTACGTTCATGTTGTAAATAAATTGTTAATCTTTATAATGGTATTGTGTTTCATTTTCCTGATAGCTTCTCGCCGCTCGTCCTACGTTACAATTGCCTTACGCTGGCAAAACACTATTCCATGAGAAAATATTATAGTCTACCAAGCACATGTTAGCTCAAGCTAACTGTATTTGTCTTTTATTCCAACAACTTCACATATTACTAGTTACATTTAATTCAATTTACTATTGCTATGTTACTATTACAGATTCAATTTAATACAAACAAAATACCCTACATGATTTCGTGCTCATGAAATGGAAACAATACGCATAAGTGACGCGCACCTGCATCTAGCCTAACTTAGCCTACCTGTACGATACCTATACACATTTAACGACAAAAAACAGATGAAAGGAAGAAATATAGAACAACATAAGTGCATAGGTAGTCATAGGTAGTTCCAGAATAAATAATTACCCCGTTTTTAACGTCGTTTTAGCAAACATGTCTCTTTTCTTGCCTTAGCTTTCTCTGGCACGTCTAATTAAAGATGCTAAAGATTTTTCCGATGTACGTCAAGTGTTTGACATGTTTCTAATATATTTTATCTTAAAATTCAATTTTGACACGATAAATTTTACAATTATATACACTATGTGCTCAATATTAGTTATAAAATGTGAGATTTGAAGATAAAGGGGCCAGCTGCTATACAAAATTACCTTTTGAATAACCTTTAATGGCATGTATTCGCAACATCTTTAGAGGTCAGCGAGCAAAACCACAATGACCTTCAAAGATATCAAAGTTATAAAGCTGTCAAAAGTACTAGTTAATCTAAGCCGTTGTAGCTGATAGGGAATGCAACTACGAATAATCCAAGGCTTATCAGAAGTGGTTTCATGGGATTTTTTTCTTGAACACACCGATACGATTGTATTCAAGAAAAGGAAAGCAGACACATTCGTTGTTGAGAGATTTTTTTTATTGTTATTAGTGAACATGTTTAAGAGACCAGTTCTAGTATGCTGTCACTGTTGTACGATTAATGAAGACAGCTATACTTTGAGTATTCCATTGCCGTACCTTTCTAGTTTTCAAGCTTTTGTCTCAATGTTACCACATTTGATCGGCCTTTGACTCGAGTGTCCATTCCTTTACAAATATTGCTATTTGGTCCCTGTTTGACGCCCATGGATACAAGAAAAGTTAGCTTGTCTATTACAGTGCTTGTTCCATGGACCTAAATTGGTGTGTTACCGAAATAAATGAAGGGTTGTACATACTGTGGACACAAACGACAAATAATTTCACTGTGGTGGATTTAATCAATCAAATGTTCGATCTGCTGAAAAAGTGAAAATATGTAGAAGTTATTTCATTTCATGATGTGTTATATCCAACGTAAAATCATTTAAATTGAAACAAAATACCCATTAATCCCGTATCCCTCATGTCGTTAAGTTCGCTGAAATCAATCATCTAAACAAAAGGAGAAGTATTTTAAAGATTCATATCTATTATTCTCATCGGGTTTTAATATTCCTGCAGAAGACATTGTTCTATTGCCCTTCCTGTACGGGACCCAATCCAGTTAGGTCGCTTGTTAATACACAACTGATCCCCCTTCACCCGAGTATTCATTAGGCCCATGCACACAGACATTTCTATAGGAGAAAATTTCAAAAGGATTTGCTTTATTCTCCCAGTTTAGGTCGAGGCACACTGTTTACATTGAATTTAATTTCCTTCACACAAGGATGATTCAGACCGAATTAATCGTCCTTTTGATTTTCAAGAACTTTACTTAATGTTCGGGGGAATTGTTTTGAACCCACACGATTGTGTCCAAATCCGCTCAGCTATTCAAGACTAGTAACGATATGCAGAAAAAAGTGCCGGAGAAGGGTAACATATACACAATAAACTTCTGCTTTCTGATTCGTTAGAAATATACAAGTGTGTGGTCTAGCTTTTCACATACTTTCCCCATTTGGTAGAGATCGATACTAAGATTTTAAAAAAAAAAATTGACATTTTCGCAAGACAGAATTACGTCCGCGTCGTTTATTTCAGAAGAAACATGGTTGCAGTGATTGAGGAATGTGAATTCATTTCATTTCTCGACATTGATACTTCATTACCTTACGCTTCACCTGTGTCACCTGTGCCTGGATAAATCAGTAGATCAGGTAGGATGTCAAAATTGCCAACAATTGTTATTGTAATTAAATCCCATTGAGGCTTCAGTAACCTAGTGTAAGCAGATAAAACTTATTCTCATTTACAGCCTTCTTATTATTGTTTTATTATTCATTTTAAAGGCTTTCCAGCAACGTTCATATCTTTGTATTTTAAGATGAAAATATTTTATGCTTTATAATTCATAAAATGTCAAATTATCCCAACATAAATTAATGTATGAATAGGTGACGGTTCCTATGGCAAAGGGGACTCCTATAATACAAAATTCTGTAATGCACATGTGCAAAACAAAACTTTTTTTATGGTCTGAATATTGCTTGTGTTTACTGTAACAAGATTCAACGGATATAAAATGATTCGATGTAGTGATGTTGACGATAATTAAGGCCACATGTTCTGATTCTAGTGAACGGAGCTATAAAATGTGTGGAAATATGTTGCTTTCTCGAGTGCTCTGAACATTTGTAGATATGTCTACTTTAGAAGTCTCGTCACTTAATTTATGGCGTGGAGAACTGACCAAGCTACTTTTGAGAAGACCTTGATGTTATCACCATATGGTCTTTATTTATTTCGTTTTAACTAATATCTATATAATTGACCCAGACTCATTCATAACTTGAATTTAACAAGTGTTACACTGTCACTGTCAAAGATTTTCACTGTCAATCTCTATGTGCATCTATGAACTCTAAAATACAATTGAAAGGTCTAACTTTAGTGTCTGCACATTAATTTTGTGATAAAAATTGATTATGTTCGTGTCATCCTGGGATATCTACATCCATGTCAGAATCCAGTACAATGCTGCTGATAACAATGTCTTGGAAATATATAAACAGATAAACAATGACCACGTAAAAGCATATAAATGGATGTTCATATATTAATTTGACAGAGCTAATATCAAGGCAGTGTTTTATCTAATGCTCGAATAATGAAAACTTAAATTATCGAAAAAGTAAAACATTATTGTCAAACACATTTTTACCATTTAGTACCAGATGTGTTTATTTAAAAAATCCACTTATAACTTTAAAATTCTTCATTTACTATAAGTATATAACGAAAAACGTCTTTAGAAAAATATAATTTGAAAAGTGATAGATAATTGAAAATGAATAGGCAAAGTAATCTATATCATAACAATAGATTCTAAGTAACGATAAGACAGAAATTTTAAATGCAATACAAGTAGATAGGAGGATATATATGTTGTTACAAAATGTAATATTCCCTTATGCCTTTGCCTTTTTTGTATTCAGTGTTTAATTAATTAATTCAACTCTCTAAGCAGATCCCTTTTGAAAATGACACACATTCAATGCAATTAACGAATTGTATATTGTATAATTGACTACGGTTTTTGATTAGCCGAATGGTTAAACGTGATTTGCCAACAAAAACATTAGACATATTATGGAATAGAATATGATCACTGACGTCACATTTCTCCTCCAACACCCACGTTAACATCTAATTTGTTTCATTAAATATTTTTTTGCTTCGAAATGCTATATGGTGTTGTTTTCATTACATAATATATTTGAATGCATAATGGTAATTAGCAATGCAGACTTCGAAGATCACTTTATGAC